GCCGGGCGCGGGGCGGGCCTGGCGGAGCTGTTGCTCTCCCTTCTACAGAGACTGGCCGGGCTGCTGGTGTCGGCCCTGGAGCAGGGCCTGCCGCCCTCTCGCCGCGCCACTTGGTTGCAGAGCCTTCGCATCCTGTCCCGGGACCGTGGCTGCCTGGACCGGTTCACCAGCCGCCCGAGCCTGCAGGCCCTGGCCCGCTATGCTGGCATCCTCCCGTCCGAGGGGCCTGACCCTGAGCCTCCAGAAATGGACGTTGTGCTTGAGTCCCTCAAGTGCCTGTGCAACCTCGTGCTCAGCAGCCCCGCGGCGCAGGTGCTGGCTGCCGAGGCCCGCCTGGTAGTGAAGCTCTCGGAGCGCGTGCAGCTCTACGGCCAGCGGAGCTTCCCGCATGACGTCCAGTTCTTTGACCTGCGGCTCCTCTTCCTGCTGACGGCACTGCGCACCGACGTGCGCCAGCAGCTGTTTCGGGAGCTGCAGGGGGTGCGCCTGCTGACCCACGTGCTGGAGCTGACGCTGGGGGCGTCCCCCGAGGAGAGTCCCCCCAAACTCCTCCCTGCACAGGAGACGGAGCGAGCCATGGAGATCCTCAAAGTTCTCTTTAACATCACCTTTGACTTGGTCAAGAGGGAGGTGGATGAGGTGAGGGCTCAACCCACAGGTGCCTTCGAGTTTCTGGGCATCAGATGTGGAGAGGACTGGAGCGCCTCCCTATTGGGGGAGGAGCCTCAAGGAAGGAGTGGCAGGGGGCGGGGTTCTGGTCCTCCAGGCCTCGCGGGAGCCCCCGGGTGTGTGGTGTGGACTTCATCCCAAGGGAGTCTGTTAACATTCTAAATTGGAAAAGCCCTGTTAATCAGGAAAACAGCGTTGGCCATTGTTAGCTCTGGCACCAGCAAAGTCACATCTGAGAGTACAAGGGCCCAGGACCAGCCTCGTTGGTGGGGCGCAGTGCATGCGAGAGCCTCAGCTGGCAGCAGCAGGGACAGGTGGGGCTCCCTCCTATAAGAACCCCTTCCTTTATGGTTAGGAAGACACTGTCCTTTACCGGCACTTGGGGACCCTTCTGCGGCACTGTGTGATGGTCTCAGCTGCCGGAGACCGCACAGAGGAGTTCCACGGGTGAGACTGGGGCTTGAGGTGGGTAAGTGGGGGGTGTGGGGCATGGGTTACAGGTGCGTGGGTGGAACTATGGTGCAGAGCTTCAAGGTAGGTGGAGGTAGTCTACACTTGGGCCTGCCCTGGCTGGGAGGGAAATGCTCAAAGTTCTCAGTCTTGGCTGTGGATCAGAATGGGGCAGGAGGGCCCACCCTAGAGTCTGATTTCACTTGTCTGGGTGAGATGGGTGTCAGCATGATCTGGAAAAACCCGGGCATTCCTAGCACCACCAAGATCAGTTGGGGGAGGCACTGCCTCCTGGATCTTGGGCAGTGGCGATGAGCAGCATCACCTGTGGACTGCAGTTGCTGGAGGATTGGCCTAATCAAGCCCCCCCATCTGTCTGCAGCCATGCGGTGAACCTCCTGGGAAACTTGCCCCTTGAGTGTCTCGATGTCCTCCTCACTCCAGAGCTACACGCCGGCTCCCTGGAGTTCATGGGAGTGAACATGGACCTGATTTGTGCTCTCCTCGACTTCCTGGAGCGGCGTCTGGACCAGGTAGGGGGGAGGGACTGCTGTGCAGACCGCCTGGGCTCCCGCCCGGCTTTTCCCTGCTTCTTCACCACCAGCCCTGGTGCATGGAGGTCTCTGATGTGACTCGGGCATTCCCTCCAGCGCCCCGTGGTTCTCCCTGAGAAGCATGTGGAGCTCCTTCTTCTGAAGGTTTCACTCTTGATCACTGGAGGAAGTGAACAGTGGGCCCTCCGTGGGGATACTGCCTGGTTTACAAAGTCCAGTGGAGTCCTTGTCTTTGTGATCTTTTTTATGTCTGTGGCTCCTTTTTGGGTAGTCCTGGGAAGCCCCCAGTCCTTGTGTGTGACACTCAAACTGTTGGCGTCACCATGCACACCAGCCCTTTGCTGTCCCTTGCTGTCTTCTGCCCCGTATTCCCTTGGCCTCCCCAAGACAGAATCCACAAGAGCCTTTGCCCAGTGGGTCCCTCTGATTACCAGGGAGGCACCCCAGGAGGCTGGGTGGCTGGGCTTCAACAGACCTTCAGGAGCTCACAGTCTCATGCAGCGGGGCAGGCTTGATACTGAGAAGTCCCTGGAACCCACAGCACCTGGGGAAGGGTGTTCGGGTACAGTGTGAACCGTCGGGCACATCTGCACCACATGTGCCTGTCCTGCAGATGCCGGCACTGACCTGAGGCCGTGACTCTGAGGGGCCGCAGCCAAGAGGACAGGGCACCTCACGTGAACTGCTGCTGCTTGTTCCAATACAAAATGCTTAAATGTCCACTCTAAATCACTTAAGGATTACTCAACATGGAAAGGGGAACAACAGAAGAGGAATATGGGCGTTTTCAGCAAAGATAAAAATGCAGACAAAGGGCTAGGCAGTGTCCTGAGTCTGACTGGCCTGAGGGATGGGGTGTGGGCTGTGGGGGGTTCTCCTTGGAGCAGGCCGTCTGCAAGAACCCCCCTAGGCCCTACATCTGTTCCCGAGCCCTCGCCACCAGGATCTGCCAGCTGGTGGGGCCAGGCAGGTGACAGAGGCTTCTCCACAGACGCACCGGCTGAAGGAAAGCGTGGCCCCCGTGCTGAGCGTGCTGACTGAGTGCGCCCGTGCGCACCGCCCAGCCAGGAAGTTCCTGAAGGCCCAAGTATGGGGTCCCGGGGGCGGGGGCAGGCCTGGACACAGACCGCGCCGTGTTGTGCCCAGGCTGAGGGACGGGCTGCTCCCCAGGTGCTGCCCCCACTGCGGGACGTGAGCACCCGCCCTGAGGTGGGGGGACTGCTGCGCAACAGGCTGGTCCGCCTCATGACGCACCTGGACACCGACGTGAAGCGCGTGGCCGCCGAGTTCCTATTCGTGCTGTGCGCGGAGAGCGGTGAGTGGGGGCTGGGCGCCCACCCCTCCTCCTGCCTTGGCTGGCTCTGACCTCCACCTGCCCTCAGTGCCCCGATTCGTCAAGTACACGGGCTACGGGAACGCTGCTGGCCTCCTGGCTGCCAGGGGCCTCATGGCAGGGGGCCGGGCCTCAGCCCAGTACTCAGAGGAGGAGGACACGGACACGGAGGAGTATAAGGAAGCCAAAGCCAGGTGTGCTGCCCTAACCCCACACCACCAGCCCATCGGGTGGGACGGGTGGAAGCGGCCTCTGTCCCCCTTTGAGTGGCATCTGTCCTGAGGTCCATGTCAGGGGACTGGAGCCAGGCCTGTCTGGGCAACCAGAAGGTGGTCAGTACGTGGGAGCCTCTAACTGCTAGGGCAAGCTTGGGAGCCCACCGCCCCTTCAGCTCCTCCCTTCTTGGTTGGGTACTAATGCCCCGTCCCCCCGGAAGCAGCATAAACCCCGTGACGGGGCGGGTGGAGGAGAAGCCGCCCAACCCCATGGACGGCATGACAGAGGAGCAGAAGGAGCATGAGGCCATGAAGCTGGTGAACATGTTTGACAAGCTCTCCAGGTGAGTGGTGGCCAGCGGGCAAGGAACCCTCCCTGAGGCATCTTCCAGGGGAAGGGCCACACTCTGTATCAGTCTTGATGAAAACCAAGGCAGGGGGAAATAAAGTGACTGCCTACCGTCTCAAAGCCAGGAGGGGCAGTTAGGGTTCAGCCTGATGGACACAAGGTCCTGCCCAGGCTCCCTGGTTGGGGCAGTTGGCTGGTGGAGAGGTGGTGGCCCGGAAGGGCAGGACCACGCCCGGCCCACCGAGCCTTTGTCTGCAGGCACCAAGTCATCCAGCCCATGAGCATTAGTCCCTGCGGTCACCTCACGTCTCTGCAGGACGCCATGGGCCAGACCATGGAGGGGCAGCTCAGCTCCGACCCTGACTCCGACCCCGACTCGGACCCCGACTAAGGCTGCAGCTCTCCTTCCCTTCAGAGCTGGTCCGCGTGCAGACGCCTTGGTGCTGGCCCCAGCCCTGCCCATGTCTGCTCGCGATTCCCCTCTGGTTCAGCTTCTTGTCTCTGGACTGGGAAGGGCTCGTCCTGCATTAAGTCTGGAATCTCACGACTGGTCTACTCTGTGTGCGCCCAGGAGGAGCGCGTGAGAGGACACTGCCCAGGGGTGGGCCTGGCGGGACAGGGACGGGCGCTGCATTTCACAGGGGAAGGAACCTGCTAGAGCTGTACATGCAGACGTATCTCACAGCACAACTGCTCACGTACGCACAGATTGCACGCCGTCTCCCCAGAGCTGGGGGTCTCGCCAGGTGTGGCCGCTGAGTCATGACCCTTCCCACCGACTCAGACTGAAAATATTTTCATGAAGGAAAACGCCCCTCCTGAGACCACAGAGGCATTGTCCTAGAATAAAGACACATTTTGGGCGAGAACGTGTGCTTGGATGTGTCTGCAGAGTAGCAAGCAAAGGAACATTAAGTAGAATAGAAACTCGCTTCCTTCCCTCCCAAATTCCAGTTTTCCGAGCTCACTCCCACGTTTTATAGTCAAGGAACAAGACCATGGGTCCTCTGCAGAGTCGACTGGAGGGACGAGCCGGGAGGGAGGCACACAGGTGGGCTGAGGGGGAAGCAGCCAGTGGCCTGAAGGGCAGGAGACTTCCTGGGAGGTGCCACTGGACTAGGCCTTGGGCCACCCCAGGGGAGACTGCGCAGAATGCCCGGCAGCAGGGTGGGCTTTCCCCAGAGCACAGGGTGGCCAGGGGTCAAGGACACCCACAGGCAGCCAGGAGCCAGGAAGGCTTCTAAGTGAGCACCCTGCGTTTTGGAGGGTAATTCTGACAGCAACCATGAAAGCAGCCTGGTTGGGGAGTGAGTGCCGAGCAGACAGGCAAGCACTGGTGGAAGCGCCACAGAGCACAGTACTCTGGAGGACAGGCATGAGCCCTGGGTGGGTGCCCATGTGCTCTAAAGGGGCCAGGGTGGAAGGGAGGGTTCTCCGCTGGCCACGCCAGTGAGTAAGGACCCCAAGAGCCCCTTTCCTCACTTAATGTCAACTCTTGGTTCCTTTTGAGGACAAAAATGAAGAGATACAGTTTTTATACTGAAGTTTATTTCATGCCAGAAAAGAGACACTTTGTCGAATTAAAAACAGCCACTGCAAGACCCTGAGGACACCTAGGCCTAGGACACACACCGGGGACCGGGTGGGCAACCGCCTGGCCTTCAGACTGCCCCTCAGATGCGACTGGACAAAGCTGGGTCTGGCCGAGGAGCCTACACTGGTCTGTTCAGTTCAGAGGGTCACCTTGAGAAGACTGCTTTCTGGTTAGCCCTTTGTGTGGCGACACAGGAGCTAGGCCGCCCGTCACATGACTGCGCAGCCCGGGGTGTCCGTGGTGGCTGCAGGCAGTCCAGTCATGGCCACTCTGGTCCTCGGGTCATGCGTCCTCATTTGGCCTAGAGTTTTGAGTGCCTGCTGCTTCTCCCGGCACGAGGTCTCATCAGATGGACATGGCTCTCTTCTCAGTGGCCCTCCTGGCTATGAGGGCTGCCACGCCTACCTGTCCCTGCGTGGAGCTGGAACATGGGAATATTCAAATCAGTTTTCCATAAACACACCAGGCGGGCACCAGACCTCACTGGCCAGGTCTGCAAACAAGCAAAGTATGTCATAAAGCAGAAGCTTTTTGACTTCTTTGCCAGCTCTGCTGCCAGGCAGGTTGAGATGATCCCCATGGGGTTGGGGAGAAGGGGGTGGCTAAAGGAGAGCCTCTGTCTAAGGGATTTTAAATGGCCAATGGGAGGTCCGGATGCTTGTTCAAAAAAATCACTCACGCTATTCTGCAATCCACCCCTCACACCTAGCTGCCCTTGATGGTAAGGCCTTAAATCACAAGATAAAACGAAGACCAGCCAGCAGGCACACATTCTGTAAACAAATTAACAAGTCAAACCCTATAGGCCCAGCAATTCTGCTTCTAGGTATATACCCAAAAGACTTGAAAATAGAGACTCAAACAGAGACTTGTACTCCAGTGTTCATTGCAGCACTGTTCACAATAGCCAAAACGTGGAAACCACCTAAATGCCTATCAAGAGATGAAGATAAACAAAACGTAGTACATACATAGACTAGAATACTACTCAGCCAGTAGGAGAAATGAAGTCTTGACACATGCTACAGTTGTGGATGGAGCTGGAAGACATTATACTGAATGAAATAAGTCAATCACAAAGGAGCAAATATTCTATGACCTCACTTACATTAAAAGACAAGAAAAAGCAAACGTACAAAGACCAGAGTTTACTAGTGGTTACCAGGGGTGGGAGCTAGAGGAAAGGGAGAGGTTATTGCTTATAGAGTACTGCTTTCAGTTTACAGCGATGGAAAAATTGCATTTATTAAGGGTACTGTTACACAATCACTATAAATGCTGTCAATAAGTTGTATACTTGTAAAAAGTGGAACTGGCAAAAGTTGTGTGATACATGTTTATGACGACAAAAAAAAAGAATAGCTTCTGAGGCCACTTACGTGCAGCCAAAACACCTCATGGGATGTGGTACCTTGGTTTGGAGGGTTAGGGTCACGGTTTCAAGCGGCCATCCAAGGCACAACAATTGGTCTCTGTTTGCCTGGAGCAACAGAGGAAGAAGGAACAGGAAGAGATGGACTGTGTGGCTAACTGCCTCCATGAACAACGGCCCCTTTGCCATGAGACCAGAAGAACTGGACGGTGCCTGGTTACTATTACTCAGCATTACTGGAAGATTCTATAGACGAATCCTGATCAAGGGGGAAACGCAAACAATTCCAAATTCTCAGGGACTCTAGACTTTCTGAAGCCATGAAGGTTGGATGAACCCCTTAAAGTATTGCCCTAAGATAATCTTTAAAGTGTACACCAAAAGTATCCCCTGTAATCTTCTTAAAACGAAACAGTAGTTTAGCTTAACGAGTGCAAAATGTCTGCCTTGAGCATTGTGTTCTTTTAAGTACTATCTATATGGGATCAAACTGACAACAACTCAAAAGATTAGATAGGAACCTTAGGGGGCAGTGAGTTTATGTAAATCGGGGAGGAACAACTCAGAAAAGGAGGGTGAAAATGATTGCACAACTCGAAGAATGTAATCAGTGTCACTAAACTGTACACGTAGGAACTGCTGAACTGGTGTATGTTTTGCTGTGTATATTCTCAACAACAACAAAACCCCTCTAGGGCTGCCTCCATCAGTCTGCTTTTGTATGGGAACCAGATGCCCTGACCAGGGTCTCCTCCTGCCTGGCACAGCTAGCCCCAGTAGGGTGACCAGCACATGACTAGCATTTGGTGGTCTTCATTTCCCAGCCCCATCGTGTCCCTAAGAGCCAGACTCTGGAATAAAAATGCTGGTGATGGCAAGTCTCACACGTGTGGAAGGAAACACTCTCAGGCTCTTCTTTAATGTGCCTTGTGTTCTCGCTTGGGGGTGCTGAGGAGCTTTTCCTAGAAGAGGTGGAGAGGACACGGCAGACTTGGGGAGGACAAGAACTTGGGGACTTCAGGGCCTGCGTTCCCACCTGCATATCTCAGAACCAGATGCTGGTGAGAACGCAGACTGCTAACTGGGAACTGCAGCCAATTAACATGTTTCTTCCTCTCAAAAATGGGGATGATGCCAATGATAACACCCAACTCACAAGCACATCAATAGCCCAGACATGCTTGACGCAACCCACATCCGCACCAGCTCCAACTGGGGCTGTTTTAGGACAGGCCACACAGAGCCTTGCCAGGCGGCCCACCCGCCCTCGGTACCTTGTCCGTCTCCCGCTGCACAAGGTCCCGCATCTCCTCTGTCCAGCCCAGCAGCTTCACCAGCTTCTCCACGCTGTGAACCACGTCCCCCAGCTGCACTACATCCCTGCCCCGGGGATGCCATGCAAAGGTGCCCACCACATCCTGGTTGATGAGCACTCGGGGCACAGAGCTGCAGACGCCTTCAGACAAGCTGGCAAAAGGCTCCACCTGGAAGGCACCCGACAGGAACCTGGCATCCCTCGGAGGACAGGGCACACCCGAGAGGCTCCAGCACCCCATGGCTTGCCTGGGAGGCCTCAGTGGACAGCACAGGTTGACCTCAGGCTTCTGCATGCAGGAAAAGCCCACTGCACACACTCTTCCTGCAGCCACACTCCTGCCCCCAATGTCCCCAGGCCCAAGCTTCCCTCTCCTCTGATCCTGAAGCTCCTCGCCGCTCTGTCTCATAAGACAGAGCATTCTGTCTTTATTGTGAGCCTCATCGGAGCTTGACTCCTTCCCACCTGCCCCCTTCCTCACCAGGTAAACCCGTTCATCTCCCAGAGGAGGACCTGAATGCCCCCAAAGCACCCGGAGCCACTCACAAGCGCCCAGCGCTGAGCTGATGGTGCCCAGTCCCCTCTCCCCACCCCCCTCCTCCCCCTCTGCCCCTCCCTTTCCACACACCCAGCCAGTGCAGACCTCAAGGGAGGTCCCAAGGACAACCAGCAGGTCAGCCATGGGGAAATCGGCCACGTGCAGCAGGAACCTCTCTGGCAGTGGTTCCCCGAAGAACACGATGTCAGGCTTCACGATGCCGGTACAGACCCTGCAGCAGGGCACCCTGTCCGCCAACACGTCAGCCTAAGACAGTAGAAGGAAAGGCAACAGCAACTGTTTATGATGAGGTTTCCCAGCCTCACAGCAGCCCAGGGACCAGTCCAGGGAGCCCCATGCCCTTCAGCCAGCTTCATCGGTTACCAGCATTTTGCCCATTTTGTTTCCTATGTCACCCCAGATCCTGGAGATCATATCACATCACCCATAAACACTTCAGGAGATACCTAACATATTCTGACTTGAGTCACATACCATTATCACACCTAACAGCATCAGTGATGACCCCTCAGCATCATGGACACCTCACCCAGGCATGTCTCTCCAGAATACTTTTACAGTGTTTCTTGGAATAAGGATCCAAGCAAAGCCCATGTTTCATTTCTCCTCATGCTAGCTTGGTTAAGGAGACTAGGTTGGGCGTTTGCAGGATGTCCCCAACCTGAGACAGGCCGACCCCCTGTGCTGCTAGCTTGAAGGCAGAATTCGATTTAGGTCCAACTTCTGGGTGAGGTCACCTCCTAGGTTTCGTGTCAGGAAGCACGTGTCTTGCTGTCCCACTTTTAGTGACTTTCAGACCAAGTGCGCCCACCAACACTGCAGCCAACAGTCTTAGCGACACTGATGCTTGTCCCAAATCAGTGATCTTACTAGGTTTACAAAATGGTTTTTTCTTTTGCCTTTAGGACTGCTCCCACTAGGGATGGAAATACAAGCATTTGAAGTATCTCCTCTTTGTATTTTATTGACTATGCAAAGACACTGGGCTGCGTGGATCGTAACAAATTATGGATAACATCGCGAAGAGTGGGAATTCAAGAACACGTAACTGTCCTCATGAGGAACCTGTACGTAGACCAAGAGGCAGTCGTTTGAACAGAACAAGGGGATACTGTGTGGTTTAAAGCCAGGAAAGGTGTGCATCGGGGTTGTATCTTTTCACGATACTTATTCAATCTGTATGTTGAGCAAATAATCCAAGAAGCTGGACTATATGAAGTATGGGGCATCAGGATTGGAGGAAGACTCATTAACAACCTGCATTATGCAGATGACACAACCTTGCCTGCTGAAAGTCAAGAGGACTTGAAGCACTTACTGATGAAGATCAAAGACTACAGCCTTCAGTATGGATTACCCCTCAACATAAAAGAGAACAAAAATCGTCACAACTGGACCAATAAGTAACACCATGATAAATGGAGAAAAGATTGAAGTTGTCAAGGATTTCATTTTACTTGGATCCACAATCACCACCCATGGAAGCAGCCGTCAAGAAATCAAACAACGTGTACTGACAGTTTAATGAGAAACTATTTGTTCTGTAAACCTTCACCTAAAGCACAATAATGAAAAAAACAAAACAAAACAAATGACGGATTGCATTGTGCAAATCTGCTGCAAAAGACCCCTTTAAAGTGTTAAAAAGCAAAGCTGTCACCTTGAAGACTAAGGTGCGCCTGACCCAAGCCATGGTGTTTTCAATCACCTCATATGCATGCGAAAGCTGGACAATGAATAAAGAAGACCAAAGAAGAATTGATGCCTTTGAATTGTGGTGTTGGCGAAGAATATTGAATATATCATGGACTGCCAAAAGAACGAATAAATCTGTCTCGAAAGAAATACAACCAGAATGCTTCTCAGAAGCAATGATGGTGAGACTACATCTCACATACTTTGGACATGTTACCTGAAGGACATCATGCTTGGTAAAATAGAGGGTCAGCGAAAAAGAGGAAGACCCTCAAGGAGATGGACTGACACAGTGGCTGCAACAACGAGCTCAAGCGTAACAAGGATTGTGAGGATGGTGCAGGACCAGGCAGTGTTTGGTTCTGTTGTACAGAGGATCACTATGAGTCGGAAACTACTCAACAGCACCTAAGAGAACAACATACAGACTACTCTGTTTACCATTTCCTCCTTTAACTGAAGTTTGTTTTTAAAAAGTGTTTCCAAAGACAAATACATTTTTAAAAAGTATATTTAGAGAAACATAGCTTTCCTTGAGGTTCTCGTGTAAAAAGGTATTATCCTCATTGCAGTCACACTTGCAATAAATGCCTTTTTAGGTTATTTGCCTTCTTTCTTTTGGGGGTTGGGGAGAAACAAGCTGTTATGGATTGACTTGCGTCCCTTCAAAATGTCTGCCAACTTGGCTAGGCCATGATTCCCGGTATTGTGTGATTGTTCACTATTTTGTTTTCTGATGTGATTTTCCTGTGTTGTAAATCCTACCTCTGTGATGTTTATGAGGCAGGATCAGAGGCAGTTATGTGAATGAGGCAGGATTCAATCTACAAGATTAGGTTGTATCTTGAGTCAATCTCTTTTGAGATGTAAAAGACAGAAGCCAGCAGAGAGACCTCCCACCATCAAGAATGAAGAAGCAGGAGGGAAGCATGTTTCTTTGGACTCAGGGTCCCTACGCTGAGAAGCTCCTAGACCAGGGGAAGATTGATGACAAGGACCTTCCCCGAGAGCTGACACAGAAAGCAAGCCTTCCCCTGGAGCTGGCACCCTGAATTTGGACTTCTGGCTTCCTATCAGAGAACAAACTTTTGTTTGTTAAAACCATCCACTTGTGATATTTCTGTTATGGCAGCACTAGATAACTAAGACACAAGCGTTAGTGTAAAAATGGCATGGCAGTGGCATCTGACCTCCTCTAACTTCACAAGGAGGAAGGAGAATCAAGATCAACAGTCCAAGGCTGATTCCTATGAGGCAGAGGACAGACATGCCTCCTCTCTCCGCCGTATTTACCAATTCTGACACCAACCATCCCTCCTATGGCACTCTCTAGTTCTCTGCTGGGTTCGATAATTCATTGCAATGGCCGCGCAGAACTCACAGACCATACTCACGATTATGGGGTTTAATAGGAAGTAGCAGGTTACAGTCCAGGTTCAGGAATGCTCAGGATACAGTTCTTCCATCAGGACAGCCTCTTCTCAGCCATGCTCACAGGCACGCTTCTCTCTGGCCTCCTGGCCTATGCCCTGTTTGGGCAAGTGTTACAAAGCTCTTTTAGCTCTGCCCATAAGTGCCCAGAGGGACCCCACTCTGCCAGTAAGCCTTGGCCTGAAGGTGCTCTGCTAGAGCTCTACGAATCGGCAAACCTAGCTCCACCAAGTGCTTGGAGGCACCCTACTCCTCCTGCAAGCCTTCTGACCAAAGTTACTCAGCTTTCTTGCTCCGCAGGCTGGGCTGTCTCCTGCCGTTACAGCGCTCTCGCTCTCTCCTCCGGTCTCTTGGTTCCAGAAGCTTCTCAGTGCAGGAATCCCAGGTCCAAAGGCTGCGTTCTACTCCAGGCTCTTCTTCCTTGGCGGTGATGCGATCTTCTCCCCTTACCTCTGGGATGGCTCATTTTAAGCCTACTAGGATGGCAAAACTGACCAATCCTCTGGTTAGGGTTTCACATACCTTATTAGCATGGTCCTACCAATCGTTTGGAGGGAGTTACAAAGACTACAGCTAGAACGGCCATATTAAGCAATTCATTGCACAGCACTCTTTTCCTTTGTAATAGCATCAAATGCTTCAAAATCATTACCAAGTCATCATCTGTTTCCCTCTCCTCTAGGAACTGACAAAGGATCACTTTTACCTTCTTCTAGTTTTTTTGACTTTGTAATCCATTTGGAATCTATTTTTATGATGTAATGAGATAAGCGTTCATATGGATTTTTTTTTCCTAATTAATAACCAGTTATCCCAACACTAGTGAATAACCTCTGCATTGTTCTGTGGTGGTTCCACTGCAATACATTATTATTCAATTATGAGCTATATCTGAGCTGTGATATTCCAGAGATCTAGTTGTTTATTCTCTCAGTCCATTTTCACTCTGCTAATTACTGTTGCTTTAATGTATCCTTGATATTTAATAGGACTAGTCCTATCCTTTTTTCAGAATTAACTTTCATAATCTCGCCAATTTTTCCACATGAACTACAGAACAATTATGACAAATTTCAAGGAAATTCCTGCTGGAATTTAGACTGAAACTGCATCAAACATTAATTTGGGCAGAATTAACATTTTTACCATATTTAATGTTTCAATCCAGAAGAATGGTATTTTCTTTCTTTTTTTGTGCTACTAAATTAAAAAATCCTCACAACTGGACCAATAAGTAACATTATGATAAGTGGAGAAAAGATGTTTACCTCTGTTTTATTGACCGTGCAAAGGCTTTCGACTATTGGATCGTAACAAATTATGGGAATTCCAGAACACTTAATTGTGCTCATGAGAAACCCGTACATAGATCAAGAGGCAGTCGTTTGAGCAGAACAAGGGGATACTGTGTGGTTTAAAGTCAGGAAAGGTGTGCATCAGGGTTGTATCCTTCCAGTATACCTATTCAATCTGTATGCTGAGCAAATAATCCAAGAAGCTGGAGTATACGGGGCAGAACGGGGCATCAGGAGTGGAGGAAGACTCATCAACAACCTGCATTATGCAGATGACACAACTTTGCTTGCTGAAAGTGAAGAGGACTTGAAGCACTTACTGATGTAGGTCAAAGACCACAGCCTTCAGTATGGATTCACCTCAACATAAAGAAAACAAAAATCCTCACAACTGGACCAATAAGCAACACCATGATAAACGGAGAAGAGATTGAAGTTGTCAAGGATTTCATTTTACTCGGATCCACCATCAATACCCACGGAAGCAGCAGTCAAGAAATCAAAAGACGCATTGTATTGGTAAATCTGCTGCAGAAGACTTCTTTAAAGTGTTAAAAGGCAAAGATGTCACCTTGAAAACTAAGGTGTGCCTGACCCAAGCCACGGTGTTTTCAGTCACCTCATATGCATGTGAAAGCTGGATGATGAATAAGGAAGACTGAAGAAAAACTGATGCCTTTGGATTATGGTGTTGGCAAAGAATATTGACTATACCATGACTCTGGCTGCTAACCAAAAGGTCGGCAGTTTGAATCCACCAGGCACTCCTTGGAAACCCTGTGGGGCAGTTCTACTCTGTCCTGTAGGGTTGCTATGAGTCAGAAT